ACTTATGTATTGGTCGCACGTAAATCTTCCCTTGCCCTCCGCCCAAGTTTGAACGCAGATCTTTTGCACTCCAGGAACAATCGATGACAGTCAGATCCAGACAGTTCGGTTGACAGCGCATCATTTCAAATTCTCCACATGTTTTCAGTTCTGGAAATCCACAGGCATTTCCAGTGGCGTCTTTTTCATCGGAAGTAATTTTATTTACTACAGTCTGTTCGTCATCTTGTGTATCCCATTTTATTTCACTTACCCCCCCCCCCACGAAAACACGATTTCAGCCATATTTTGCCGTCTATAAATGTATTATATTTTTTTGTATTTTTATAATTGATGATAAAAATACGCAAATATTTTTTTTTCTTTCATAAATCACAAATATACAATAAATATAATGTACTTAGTTAGGTTGCTGTGGTGGCGAACAAACGTTTCGTGAAAATATTCACCACCCCCTGTTATGTAACCCACGAGGTGTTTTCGCGAACTTGCGCGTGACTTTTAAATTACTTCTTTTGAATTCTGACAGGACAACTATTATGGGAGGTTTTTTCCTCCCAAGTACAAATAATATTTGCAATTTTTGGATTGGGACTATTCTACAAAGAAGTACTCTTGGATAATGTAATCTAAATACATATGAAAACGAAGAAGTGGCATTTATCGGGCAGAGAAGCGGCGAGCCATTAAAATGGCGGCAATTTGATGAAATATCGAAGGACACAATATCGAAGATAAAATACACTGCACTGTTTCAAAAGTGGATGAAACCTTCTTTGAAATCTTCGTCAGCCATTTATGATTATGTAAAAGTACAATAACTGGATGATATTTGCGAGATTCGGCGATAAAAAGCAAACAAGACGGCAAAATATGGCTGAAATCGTGTTTTCGTGGGGGGTAAGTGAAATAAAATGTATTATATTTAAAGAAAACAATGACAATCCTTATGATATCAACAATATTTATATTAAATTGAGCATAGTTTTTCACCCCATGATAATTTTTTTTAGGAAATAAGAATATTTAATTTCTGCCAGGCATATTAGTTATTTTATGCATAATTAGCAATTTACCTGGGGTGGTGCATGGTCATTTTCTTGTAAAATATTATACTTAGACAAATTTTTTCTTCCAATGACCACCCTAAAAGCAACCCTTCAAAACACTATAAGCACTTCAGAAAGACTATCGCTTTTTGTTTTCTGAAGTTAGAGCTATGTCGACACTGCCGTTTCAGGGCGGGGTCATTTTCAGGACTTTCGTCCCGGATTCAGGTTTTGGCACATATGCCATGTTGACCGCCATGGTCATTTTACCCTAAAACAGTTGAGATTACCTGTGCTAAATGAAACGCATACAAACTCATATACAGGTCCTAGACTATATACATAAACTGAAACAGCTGGTTAATTAAATCTTAATGAAAAGTTAGTGGTAATTGAGCTTTGCACACCTTGCCCTAGGACTGATCAGGGGAAATGATACTACTCAGGGCTTGAAATAACAAGAACACTGATCAGCAAGAAATTGTTTATGATCATCGGAAAAGTAGGGTTTTCACTGCCAAATTGCCATAATAGAGAACTTTGGGAATGATATTTCAAGCCCTGCTAACTGGATATCGGTTACCGATTGTGGTCTATTGCTTTAGTATGTGCTTTATCTCTTTATATAATAAGCATAAATATTTGTGGCATAGGCATTGGTTAGGCAACCTTGCCAACTTATAGCAGAAAGCAGTTTATGTCACGATAAAATTTTCTGCATGCCCAGTAAATTGGTTTAACAGCTTTTTGAGTTTTTGAACAATGTCAAGCAGCAAGAATGCACACAGGACTCAAAGACCCATGTCAGCCATTTCAACATTGCTTTAAATTTGTTTACTATATAAGGGCAAAACTAGTCCAGATGGCATGTGAATGTTATTGGATGATCATTATTGTTTAAATAAAAAAGTAGTGTTCAGAAATCAAATGAAGTCTTTATAAGGTATATACCGGTGCTTATGTTTCTAAGTACTTTGAGAGGATTGAGTTGTTTGGGTGCTATGGAGCATGGGCACAGAATAGAGAGAAACAGAAGATCAACTTCTTGGTTTTTCCTACGATTTCGGCTTAACCGTAATTCGTCATCAAAATGCTGACGCCAATGGTCCTAGCCAGTGCGCTTATGGGAGGCATTCACCCCCCTTATAAAATTCAAAATGGTGGACATCCATTGAGTAAATGCCTCTCATACACCACTGGCTAGGACAATGACATTTCAGCATTTTGATGACGAATCATGGCGTGGCATGAGTGGTTACGTTTTTGACTTAGTCGTCCTTCTGTGGGTCTTCATTCTGCGGTATGAGCCTACTATTGTGCCACCTATAATAATGTCAAACATCTGCTGATCTGGGAATTCTATTGGAAACTCTGCTTGTTTCATATTTTTCTAGGAGTGGGAATTCAAGATCAACTGAAGATCACAGGTTGTCTCTAGACCAATCTGAAGGTAGTGCTGAAGACAGTACAAACAAGAAAAATAAATCACTAAAAACAAATCATGAGGAAACAGTACTGGACATTAACGAAAACTCTTGTAAAAAAGAAAAAAAGAAGCGTAAAAAACATGATGTACAGTCCCAAAATAACTCAACCTCAGAATCAGGTGCTAACAAGAATGATTCTTCAGTTAAAAAACACAAGAGGAAAAAATCGGATATTGGGTAAAATTATTTTTGATTCAGGTAGTGATGAAAAATATACCTTATTCATTATTTATATTTGTGTGTTTTATGCTATTTTTCTTGAGCAAACATCTGTTCATGTTTTCCTGCCAATATACTGTATATTTTAGTGGCTTTAATAGGGAGCAGTCATTATTAATGTTGTGAGGTGGGGTGGAAGACATTTGGAGATACCGGTATAATTGTTGAAAACATCAATGACATGTGTTTTGAATGTCTTTTACTACTAAAAAATGCTAACTACAGTATAGTATTGTAAGTTCAGAGTTCAGTTAAGGGTACATATATATACAGTATCTTCTATCCCATCCCTGGTCATTAATAATGACTGCAACCTTATTGTAATATTCTATCCAGATCATAGATTGTGACCATTCACATTATGCATATCTGGACTGCTTGCACAGCCTCAAAAAGTGTAGTCGCACGATGGCGAGAATATGAGAGTGATTGCTCATGGAGTTGACCACTGATCAGTACTCAGAGCTGAAAGTATTTTGCTATGCGCCAGCAGTGCTGTTTTACTCTCATATTCGTCAACTTCAATTTGCCACCCAAGCCTTCAGTCAAAAAGTATTACAGGATAATAATATACATAAAGATATTACTCGACTGTGATTGGTTGATTTCAGTGCAGTTAATCCCAAACAGCAGTGCAATTTTCTGTAATCACAGTGCAAAAATCTGTAGCAAACTGATCTGATTGGTGGGAAAACATTGTGATGATTAAATCGACCAATCAGTTTAAAGCAATTTAGTTTAAAGGAGTAACGGTCACACATTGCTTCAAAACAAAACAAAAAAAACATGGCGCAGCGCTACACAAAGTAAAAGTTGCCTTCGCGTGGAAATATGGCTTTATCTTTATTTTTAAATGGAAAAGCATTTACCTTAAACAAGACTAACAAAAATTACAATAGTTGAGTGGAATTTTCAAGCTGTTAGCGTTGTATAATGTGATATAACAAAGCCAGGAAAACTTTGCCAGTGGAATGTTCGCTATAAACGCGTAAGTTAAAACTACAATTGTCTCGAACATTTTTATGTAAATTATTAATAAGTGTTGGATCGGAAAGCTAGCGATCTCTTAGCTTAAAATATCCAGACGAAGAAGAGGGCGAAGCAGGACATGTTTTACAGGACCGAGTTGACTCGCGATGACAAGACAAATATTATTGCTTAGTCCTGAGAATCTAGTTAATGCAATACTCACTATAGCTGGGAGGATTGCCACTCGCTCAAGACCAAGAAGAACAACAGTATGTCAATATTTTATTCCGTCATCATAAAATAGTCAGGTGTATTAATCAATAGGCAACATGTATTATGTTGTATGTCCTGTACAAGTTGTAATTATTACCAGGGCAGTAATTCGTGGTACTCAAACCTAAAGTCATGCACTAAATAATTAGTAGGTTGTTTTATACATGTTCATATAGTAATACCTCGTCCCCTAGCAATGGTTACATTACGAGCATGCACTGTAGTTCAGTTAAGTGTTTGTTAGTCCTGTTACACGTTTATGCATTACGATTTCTCGGACCAATTTTGCCTAATGTCAATGATGAATGATGTGAATATGGACAGTCAGTGGGTCTCAGTACGCGTTTATTAAGGGCAAGAGACAGTGATCAACTTGAGAAACGCTCACACTTCTAGAAAGAAGAAAATTAAACGACGCCAAGAAACGACAGACTACGTTACAACATCAGAGAAAACAGATATTGTCATAGAGCATAACCAGTGGCGGACACTTCGCGAAATATTGGGGGGGGGGGGGGGGGTTTCAACATATATAATATGACAACCTTTTGCAGCTGGCCGAAATCTTATAGCTCTTTAAACTTTTCTGCCTTTAATAAATGAATGGCATGCAATATATGGCTTAGTTTTTAGCCTAGCAATGCTTTCATCGTCGAGAAAAACAGTTTGCTTGTCATCATTGTCTTTGCAAACAGGCTGACCAGCAGTAACATGGTTATAGTGTGTAGAAATTGTTTAATCGCAAAAAAACACGTTTTATTAAATTTTAAAATATCTACACACTAAATAAATATTTTCACTATCGTAAACGTTAAACAACATAAAGAGAGGGAGTCACGGTTTTTTTCGCTGTTAAATTGTTTTATTCTGTGCGAACCTCACATGAAAAGTTCGATGTTTGAACTCAGGTCTATAACTAGATAAACATTTGTTAAGTTCGCTGTTTAAAATGTGCAATTCTATAGCATGAACAGGATATGTTTCAAGGACTCACTTTCGAAACATGACTGCTTTAGCCATGAGGTAAACACTGTTGACATAGCCAGAGAGCAAAGCATGCAAACGAAATTATAAAATTGCCATGGTTGGGCGAATAACATCATGATCAATATAGTTTTTTTTCAATCTTTATAATCAATGAAGGTTCTTCTTCAGATTTTGACAACAACATCTTAAAGGGTGAGATACATTGTAAAATGTACTCTTTTAAAAGGTCTAAAAGATATAATTTTTTTTTGTGATTGCATTGACTCGTTTCAATAAGAACCTTAAGCAAGCAGGACGGCGACGACAGCTATTCATGCACACTACAATGTATTTCTTACTTCGTAGAAAAGAAATGAATAACTGAAAGCCCCACATGATTCGAGCCTGGAAGGTATAGCTCGATCATAACCTGCAAGATTGCTTGTTTGACATTATTCACTAATTCAGCATGTATATTCTGCTGGCTCGCAAGAATATGTAAAGTTTATATGCTGTTTTATCCACTAGTTATAAACAATGAAATGAAATCAGAAGAAAACTAAAGAACATGTTATGACGCAATACGGAGCTACAATGACGTTGCATTCGTATGTGGCGTGTTCAAAAGCATTTGTCAAATACAAACATAAGAACGAGTGTAAAAGGAATTGATAATATTTAGCTAATATTGTCTGTAAATAATCATTGAGACTGAAATTAAATATTTTAGGAAATATTCATGCCAATCTACAAAACTATTTTCCCCAGCATGTGATCATTAGCGACCTTAAAGGACTCCCACCACCATTTTGACACGTTTTAAAAGGTTCTAACACGTTTTAACACGTTATATATTGACTCATGATCATATCCAATTTAATTGCGCGAAATATTCTTTGCAACGATAACGTTTGTCTTGGAGGACGCGCAGTGTTGTCTAGAACGCGAAGATGCGAGTTCGAATCTCGCTTGAGAAGAATTTTTTAGTTGTACTCAGCAGTGTCAGAGTAATATGCCGTGAACTAATAGTTTTTCAATATCCCTATCTCCTTTATTCAATATAATCTATCTTCATTATAAAATACCTGGCTTTGGGGGGATATTCCAATTTTGTTTCAAATCTATCCTAACTTGATTCATATTGCTACTAGTTCATATTCCTACTATTTCAATATTCCTCTTGGCTATCGCTCACACTGAGACTGCTCGCCACATGTTCCATTTATACATGCATGTTACCACCAATTAACACAAGGTTCTCGATATACATACCTAGAGGGAACAATTTACAATTGTACGTCTTTTTCATTGAATTTGAATGCATGCCCGGCACTACATATCGGCCTGTGCAAATAATATAAGTATGCTTCTTAATGTTTATGGTCTGAAAAATGACACGAATACGCTTGTCGAACCCCACATATACCTACCAGAGCGGCACATTCCAATTGGTTATACTAAACTGTCGACGAACTTGAATTTGGATCTTGATGTTCAAAACAAAAATTATATTTTGTTGACTTTTGATACGGAAATTCGAAATGTTTCTAATATCTTTGCAGTTTAATATTAATTCCTTATTCCGACCGCGGAGCTGCATGATCCAGACGAGATTCAAGTCGAAACTCTTAACATTTGAGCAAAGCCACTGAATTCAAACATGACCAAATCTACTAGTCAGATTTTGGTAGCGTTACTGGGAAATTTAAATTGCAGGTTTTCAATTTGGTGTAAATTTTATAATCTAATCCAAGTGTATGAAAATGAATAATTAGTTGAACCAAATATTTCAACATTGTTGCATCATGTTAGGCATACCAACTTTCGAGTGTATTTGAACAAGTCTAAAGCATTTTATTCGAGCAATAATGTGCATGGTAATACATAAT